GATCTTTCCTTTCAAATGCATTAAAACATTGTCGTTGAAGTTCCCATAAGTATTCCATTATATGAGAGGGAAAAGAACTAAGAAAGCAGATCAAACCATTACCATGGTGATCACATGAAACAAACAAGGGCACTGCCCTTCAGGGAGTTACATGGACATGTAATAAATTTACATAACTAGATTCATAATGAAAATACATAAAGTAAAATCATGATGCATTAATCAATTACAAATTCAAAATAACTTACATACAATATACTAAAGGTATCATTATTATTATTATTATTATTATTTACAGTATAGTCTCTGGTATGACTGCAGGTATTACAAACCCAACCTGCAGTGACCTATGACCTCCTCCTCCTCCTTCACTCTCCCTCCCCTCACTCCTGGAACATGAATCAACATTAATATCACTATCAGTCACTGGATCATCCACTGATCCATTAGTTATATTCTCTAACTCATTCACTTCAACCAATAAACCACCAACAGTATACTTCCTCTTCCTAGCTGAACCTCTTCTCACTATATCAGTTGATGGACTCACACTAGTAACACTCCCTGACTCATCTTGATTTGGTACGGACACCCGTCGAGTGGCTCCGGATATTGAAAGACGTTGACCAAGTTCACCGCTTGACCGTCGTCTAGCGGCCGTTACCGACGGATGTTGGTCTGATATTCCGAGTATTTCTGAGGCGCGACGTTTAAGTGTTCTTAGAGGTCCTTTCTCTTCAGTGTCTACTCCTTCAATTTCATTAGCAGTGATTGGACAAATGTAGTCTCGCGTAGCCATGCAGACTCCTCTTAAGTCAAAAAAGGGAGGAGTCTGGCTACGCGAGACTAGGATGAATGCTGATGTCTCTGACAGCACGGAACTGACCACAATTGTTCAAGTGCTCGTTTTCAAGACGAAGAAAGTTCCAAATGAAACACATGAACTGAATATGAATGATGACTAAAAAGATTAATAATAATAATTTGTAATACATGAGGTACATGATGTATAATACACATGTACACATACATGTATATTTACAATGAATTAAGGTATTGCATTTTTGTAAATTGACTCTCTTAACACAAAAAGCATTTTAGCTCAGATGCTATTTAAGGAAACATGTCAAAACACAGATAATATGTACATGTACATGCATACTAATACATTTGCATGTACATTAGAAGAGAATCCATTTTATATAATTTTCTGATCATATACCAGTACATGTTTTGTGTTGTGTAGAAAGCTTCAGCTGATTTCCAATCAAAACTAAATCTTTTATGAATCATTATTATGAAATTTCACATTGCTCGTTTGATAGACAAATTTCAGTCAAGACTTAAGTATTGTGAACACAAGGCATTAATTCACATTTGATGCTATTATTGCTAAAAGTACAGGTACTTTGGTCTGATTTTTTAACAAGTGAAAAAAAAAATAAAAATTTACTAAAACAAACTTTAATCAATATTTATTGTGT